AATCCATTAAGTTACTCCATTAAAATAATCCATTAAGTTATACCATTAAAATAATCCATTAAGTTATTCCATTAAAATAATCCATTAAGTAGTACATTCAGATGTAATATTAAGCTATTTTAAAAACAATCAAGAAAATACCGTTACATTTATTTATTTATATTACATTTTAATTCGTTGTTAATTTGTTTGTGCTCCAAAAAACGAAGTCATAATATATTATATAAGACAGTGATTGTGTCATAATATAATATATAAGACATGGATTGTGTCACAATATGATCACTTCTATAAAGTAGTCAAATATATACATTTATATACCTGTGATCACGGCAATAAGACATTGATCTCCGATCATGGTAAAAGGACATTGATCTCATATTAAGGCCATAGGACAGATATCTCAGATCATGGACACAGGACGGAAATGTGAAACAACTGGGATGATTAAGTGAAACAACTGGGATGATTAAGTGAAACAACTGGAATGATTAAGTGAAACAACTGGGATGATTAAGTAAAGCACCTGGGGTGATTAAGTGAAACAACTGGGATGATTAAGTGAAACAACTGGGATGATTAAGTGAAACAACTGGGATGATTAAGTGAAACAAGAAACACATCGCATTATAAACAAAATTGATGTCTTGTGAATAAAAATTTAATTGGACATGACACACACTATAATGTGGATGATAGTCGCATACATTTACATTAGAGTTATTCTGTGTAATACAAAACAGTAAAATAAGTTAAATGGATATAAATGTCATATTTATTATAAGATACAAGTAGTTATATATCAAGGGAAACAATCAAGGGCGTTAACAGACTTCGCGAGAAGAATATAAGAAATTAATTTTAGAAAAAGTTAAGTACGCAGATAAAGGGCAGAGTCGAAGTCTTTAATACACCGCAGTAAAATTATCAATACGACGCAGTGAAACTGATAATACGACACTGTTAAACTGGGCATACGACACTGTTAAACTGGGCATACGACACAGTAAAACGGTCAATATGAGACAGTAAAACGGTCAATATGACATAGTAACATTGTCAGTACGATTCGATTAAACGGCTACGAAACTGTCACATCAGAATAGTCAGCAATCTAAAGGACATCTCCCCACACCCACACCCGCCGCCCCACGTCGACTGCCCCCAGCCCGTCTGGTAGGGCCAAGGTATCAGGGTCACTTCCGTTTTATACTACGCCAGTCAGCTAGCCGCTTGCCACACGATAGGTTCTAACCCGTTTTTGAATGACGACCCTATTTTTACAGGGGTCCTCAGGCTGGGGGTCAAACACATTAAATGAATACGTCAAGAGAAAACACATCCAAGACAGATGACGTACACTACTATGATCCAGTGTAAAGACAGATGACGTACACAATTATGATCCAGTGTGAAGACAGATGACCTACACAATTATGATCCAGTGTGAGTACCGTGTCATACGTACTGTAGTATTATGAGTACACTATAATGCGTACATCGTTATACGTACTCTATTATGAGTAAGGTATAATGAGTACAGAATTATAAGTACTGTATTATGAGTACAGTATAATGAGTACAGTATTATAAGTACTGTATTATGAGTACACTATAATGCGTTCAGCGTTATACGTACTCTATTATAAGTAAGGTATAATGAGTACAGAATTATAAGTACTGTATTATGAGTACAGTATAATGAGTACAGTATTATAAGTACTGTATTATGAGTACAGTATAATGAGTACAGTATTATAAGTACTGTATTATGAGTACAGTATAATGAGTACAGAATTATAAGTACTGTATTATGAGTACAGTATAATGAGTACAGTATTATAAGTACTGTATTATGAGTACAGTATAATGAGTACAGTATTATAAGTACTGTATTATGAGTACGGTATGATGAGTACAGTATTATAAGAACAGTGTTATGAGTAAAGTATTATAAGTACAGTATTATGAGTAAAGTATCATAAGTACAGTATTATGAGTCAAGTATTATAAATACAGTATTATGAGTCAAGTACTATCAGTACAGTTCTATCAGTACAGTACTATAAGTACAGTTCTATCGGTATAGTACTATACAATTATGAAAATAAATTATTCGGCAACTAATTAAAATAACATTTCATTACAATACATTTTTAACACAAAAAAAAACGTTCACGTGAGCCTATGTTGTATGTTGTGAACCAGAGCTTTAGTCAGTTGCCACGATAAACTCCACAGAGATAACTTCTCTCACCATAACTATCGCAAACAAAGAAAAAATGAAGCAAAGAAATGACCAAAAGTTTAATTCTTAGCACAGTTGGTCATGTCATCATCTTGATTGACTTGAATTTTTGATTTTTAAATGATAGGCTTATTAAAAAAAAAGAAAAAAAAAAGAGAGCAATAAAAAAAATAGACTTGTGAATACTCCTGAACTCACATTACTTTGATGTGATCATTCTTGGATGTAATCAATTGCTCTAAAGTAATGATTCCAACTCAAGTAAGGTGTGTGTGTGGGGGGGGGGGGTTAAGCCTGACTCAAAACTATTTTCTAATGTTCCTTCTTCTTTCCTTTCAACTTTGAAACTTCCGGTTTGTTCCATGATGAGATCTTTAATCGTTGCGTCACTTCCTCTGAACTCTAATGGCGGCCTTTGCGTCGTTTATCCCTCGGTCAAGGTTTCTCCCGTCAAGTTTGCTCTATTTTTTTTTTTTTTTTTTTAACTAAAAAAATTCAGAAATATATTTTTATCACGTATCAGCCAGGAAATCCTTTACCATTTTAACACTCTAACGTCTTCACTGACAACCGTGACTGGTCGGACGGGACTACAGACGAGAAGCTCTTCTTTTCATTGCCGCTGTCTCTACGTGGGACTACAGACAACCAGTTCCTCTTTTCATTGACTCTTTCTCTTCGTAGCTGACTGCCTGGAGACGTCCGTATATTAATTAGCAAGTGAGAAGAGTTGCAATAAAACATCTTTATTACTCTTGCTGAGTGAGTCAAGTAAGGTAACTCGAGCAATAAAATATGCAGAGATAATTGTGATGGAAGTCGTCATAGGAAATGCTTCCTGGTTATGAAAACATCAATTAGTAAAGGCGTACCGGACATAAATAAACGTTCAGTACTCACACAATCAAAGTAAGAATTCGATAGTTTAATCAAACAAGCAAACATAAATTCCTACTTGTAATCGAAAGCAAAAAGATCATGTTAGGAATTATTTTCTTGTTTGTTTTGTTTCGTCGAATCTTTGAAGATATTGTTCAGCTACAATACCGCCCGGTCCTCTGACGGAGCAATCAAAAACGTGATGGCCTCGGTATGGGAAAATCCAATCGAAACGAAACACAGAAACAGATTTTCTCCTATAATGGCCGGCTGAGACTGCTGAGGCTGCACAGCTTCAACTTACTGGTATTTGTTGACTACCACAAAAAGTTGCATAACTCTTTCACCGAGTCTACTTGCATTATCGCTTGCTTAAGACGAAAATTACACCCACAGATGGACAGAGAAAAGAAGCAAGTGATGATGCTTGTTACAGAACTGATAACATATTCGGATATTTTTTTTAAAAAAAGCAGTTTTAAATTTTAAAATTAGGTTTTAAAATAATTCCTTCTTGAACTAGTACCACATCTTAGCGCCTCCCCCCCCCCCCAACAAATAAAAATACATTAATTAAAATAAATGAATAGATAAATAAATAAATTACAAATAAAAAATAAATAGCAGCCTAGTAGCTAACTCAGTTCCCCATAGCTCAGTTCCCCATAGTTCAGTTACCTTTGCTCAGTAACTCAGGGGGAAATATCCCAAGAAATGTAGCTAAAAATTTCTGTGACAATAAATTAACAAAACAGCTCTAGAAAGTAGCATTCGGTGTAGCAACAATTTGCTTTCCTCTTGCAAGGAATCTCAATGTAATCAAACTTCAGATGAAGAATCCCATTTAAGAAAAACTTCTTGTGGTGACAAGAAGAAAGTCTGCATGAAGATAAAGCTCACCAGTTTAAAAAAAAACAACAACCAAAACTCACGATCTTTTCAAGTCGAAATCCCAGTGAAAAGAAAATATCTTTTTGAAATTAAATTGAATTTAAGAGCCCCCCACCCCCACCCCACCCCCCACACCCCACCTCGGGCAGAAGAATTTCGAAAGCCGAGATGGGATGAAAACGTCCCCGGAATCGAGGTCGCCAATTCGATTTCATTAATACAGAAATTCCTACATTGTCCCTCGACAAACGAAAGCTCGAGATCGAAACGAAATAATTTGTATTCGAAAGATGAGAAACTTCTGCGAAAATCGATACTGTTTTGATCGTGGACCATATTTTGACGACTACTTTTCTCAAAATAAAATCGTAGCCTTGATGTTTTGAATCAGATGACTTAGCAAGATCATGGTGACTTTGCTAGGTTTCAAAATATGAGTACTGTAATATTTGAAAGTATAGAGCGTAGGTCAAGGATAATATTTCCAAAGCTATGATGAACATTGCCTAGTTACTTCAACTGATGGTAAGCAGAGTGTGAACAATATTAAGATACACTGATACAATTTTGTTTTGCGAAGAAAGCAATAAAAGCAAAAAAAAAAAACCCCCCAAAAAAACCGTACAACTTTAGATCATTTCATAAAAGCCTCAAAGACTGGACATCAATAAATTTTAAAGTGTTTTTAGAATCATCTCGAAATATTAAAAAAAAAAAAAATAAGAAGAAAGCATAAATCACTGTCGTAGTTAAGGGGGTTGCGGCACCAACCATAGTTACGCCACTAGCTATAACGATTCTGTAAAGAAAAACAGACATTCACCAAAAAAATTTATAGACTGTACATTAATTATTTACACAAGGAAAAATATATCAACAGCGATTATTAATCTCAAACTCACACAAACACTAATCCAAAAGTCCAATACAAATACAATGGTATTAAGGAAAACTGTTACTTCAAAATTATTCAAGACATGAAGCCGGTTCCATTTTGATCTCTGACCTTCCGTTGGGGATAAGGGTATGGGTAGTTCCGAGAGTATTCTACATATTACGTTTGTTGTCTACACAAATATCTCCATATTCTCTGGGGTCGTGTTGTGTTTCTTGAATTCTAGATCATCAGGCTCTGGTCTAGGCTGAACGGTGACGTCAGCTAGCCATTGCCACATCCGGTCACCCGCCGAGGCGGTGGAACTGTCACTGTCTGTGGACAGTTGTCGTGGATGCTGTGTCTGACGTCTCATCCGTCTCTCGTACGCCACCTGCATGGACTCGTGGAGTCTGATGTTGTGGACGGTAAGTGGTGCTGGAGTGGTCATCTTACCCAACACATTTGGAACTGGACGCTCAACATTAGCAGACATCTCCACCGGTACGGCCTGCTTAACTGACGTCGGTGGTCTTGGACGCTCGCAGTCGGCAGACATATCGACGCGTGCCGCATGCGGATGGTCTCCCTTGACTGTGTCTTGCTTGACATCGTGCTTCTCCTTCAGACGATAGGAAAACTTGGAGATTTCTGGTGGATCTGCAACTAGAGGTTTGTCCAGATTCTCGACTTCATTTTTGGCCTTTTGGACTTCAGTTCCATCGAGTATTGGTCTCCCAGCATAGGACGTTCTACTCTCAAGCCTGTGTATGTGCTGATAGACGCGTCCGACTTGCTGGACGACCTCAACATTTGGCGTTGTTGGATGACGTGACGGGGGCCGGGCGGGTTGGGTCGGAGGTTGGGGGAGGTGTTTGAATGGAGGGCACTGCTTGACGTCGGTTGTCGTCCGGCGTTCTTTTGGGAGCTGTTCTTTCAGTATTTGGCTGAACTTACTTGTGCTGATCAAAAGGCGCCTTTTGAAGTTTTCTAGAGAGGCTGAGAAAATTCCCGATCGCTTCTCCAGCGACGTTAGACCGGGCCGCGTAGTTGGGCCGCCATCTTTATTCTTTTGTGATTCGTGTTCTTCACCTGTCTCGTCCTTCTTCGGAAAATTATTGTATCTGTGGAGGTAAATGTCGTTTTCAGAGTTTTGTCTGTTGTTTCTGCTCATAATTGTGGATTTTGCTTCATTTTCATAGGAACCTTTGGCCAATAACAAAGTTGTGAAATGGGACAACTTCTCGTGATCGGATTTTAAACTCGCGAGATTTGAGTTGAAACTTTTCCTATCGTCTGCTGCAAGTGGGCCACGCATTTTTACCGATTCAACACTGTCCCGAACTCCGACGTTGTGATTGCTCTCGACTCCTCGACTTTTAGATGTCCCCATCTCAAGTGATTGGACATCAATGCGATCCTGTAGATTCAACTGACCAATGGGCTTCGCGGTCTTGGCATTCTTTGGCTGGGCCGTGCAATCAGACGGTCGATCTTGTCGTTTCTGAAAGCGCTTAATGAGCCACGCCGCTGCTCGATTTTTGGTGCTGGTAGCCGACGCCACTGGTGGCTGAGGGGGAAGCTGAGTGGGCGGCGAGGGTAAAACATCGAGGTCAAGTCTAGGGTTGTTCTGGTGAGAAACCTTGACCGGGCCTTTGACGTTTCTGCTGGCGTTCATGGCAAGTCTGTTGAAATGTTGGCGAAATTTTTGTGTGTTTTCCAGTTGATCCAGTTTGATGAACTTAGGGACATGGCCAGTTTTCGATAGCGGATAAAGCTGGGGAGAATTTTGTTTCCCGATTAAATCCACAATGTGGAGTCGGAGATACTCCGTCTGACCAACGTCAACCGCAGGCATTTAATCTATTTAGTGGGTCTTCCCTGACTTTTTAAGGTATTCATTGCTTTGTCTCGAGCCACTGATGGGGGATCTGAAAAGAAAATTATGAGACAATATATATAACAGTGTTATAATGGTACACCAGACAGGGCTGTATCAATAGCAGTTTATTTCATAGTATAAAGCAATACTTATGGGATACGTCCACCAAAGGGGAAACATAATAATAATAATAAGAGGTCTTATATAGCGCGGTACCCCCGCCTAGGGCTGGGCTCACCACGCTGTACATAAAAATTTAATCAAAAAGAGACATAATCATGACATTAAAATAAAATACATTTATGAAATAAAGAACAACAATGTATATTCACCCACCCCACCACATAACTTATACAAGGCAAACATATTTTCGAAGAGAAAAGAGCAAAATGGGTTGGTGAATATCATTTCAGCTTTCATATCATTTGTGTTTGTCATGGTTTGGCTGAGTAAACATAGATCGGATGACGTCACCGTGAAGTGAGAGAAAAGATATTATTCAGAGTAAAAGTATACATTTTATTTAAAAAATACATTTTTGTGTCTTTTTTAATTAACAATACTAACCTACTAGAATCGAGTTTAGAAACAAAAAAAAAATATTTTTTTTTGGAAACATCCCAAATTGGTAAAAGTAGGCGGCAACCACGGGCAAGCTACTCTGTTTTACAAAAATGTGGTCGTATCCCATAGAAGGCAAATGTGTCTACGGAAAATTGTCACATTCTTCTTCTTCTTCTATCTTTTGAGGGACCACGATCAATGTATTGATTATTCTGGCTCATATGTTTCCTATCAGTTGGTTTTAGAACATGGGCTCCTCGATTTATTTACATTTTCTGAAAATCATTAGGAAAGATAATGCAATTTATTTAAAATAAATATGGTGTATGCTTGAGTAGTATAACCTTTAGATGTGTAGTATAACCTTTGGATGTGTAGTATAACCTGTGGATGTGTAGTATAACCTTTGGATGTGTAGTATAAACTGTGGATGTGTAGTATAACCTGTGGATGTGTAGTATAACATTTGGATGTGTAGTATAATGTGTAGTATAACCTTTGGATGTGTAGTATAAACTTTGGATGTGTAGTATAACCTTTGGATGTGTAGTATAACCTGTGGATGTGTAGTATAACCTGTGGATGTGTAGTATAACCTTTGTATGTGTAGTATAACCTTTGTATGTGTAGTATAACCTTTGGATGTGTAGTATAACCTGTGGATGTGTAGTATAACCTGTGGATGTGTAATATAACCTGTTGGTGACGCACGGGCACGACTTGATGCTGTCACGCCTCACTCGAGATAACCCAAAGCCATACAGAATACACATAAACATATAACAGAAACATGCAGATGACAAACACCCAACCCTTACAAAATCGTCACCCTGGAAACCGCCACTGTGTCAATGTGATAATTCAATTTGCAGTGTCAATGTCATAATTCAATGTGCTGTGTCAATGTGATAATTCAATGTGGTGTTGTCAATGTGATAATTCAATGTGCTGTGTCAATGTGATAATTCAATGTGCTGTGTCAATGTGATAATTCAATGGGCTTAGTCAATGTGATAATTCAATTTGCTGTGTCAATGTGATAATAGAATGTGCTGTGTCAATGTGATAATTCAATTTGCTGTGTCAATGTGATAATTCAATGGGCTTTGTCAATGTGATAATTCAATTTGCTGTGTCAATGTGATAATAGAATGTGCTGTGTCAATGTGATAATTCAATGTGCTGTGTCAATGTAAAATTCAATTTGCTGTGTCAATGTGATAATTCAATTTGATATGTCGATGTGATAATTCAATGTGCTGTGTCAATGTGATAATTCAATTTGCTGTGTCAATGTGATAATTCAATTTGCTGTGTCAATGTGATAATTGAATGTGCTGTTTCAACGTGATAATTCAATTTGTTGTGTCAATGTGATAATTCAATGGGCTGTGTCAATGTGATAATTCAATTTGCTGTGTCGATGTGATAATTCAATGGGCTTGGTCAATGTGATAATTCAATGTGCTGTGTCAATGTAAAATTCAATTATACTGTATCAATGTGATAATTCAATTTGCTGTGTCAATGTGATAATTCAATTTGCTTTGTCAATGTGATAATTCAATTTGCTGTGCCAATGTGATAATTCAATGGGCTTTGTCAATGTGATAATTCAATTTGCTGTGTCAATGTGATAATAGAATGAGCTGTGTCAATGTGATAATTCAATTTGCTGTGTCAATGTAAAATTCAATTTGCTGTGTCAATGTGATAATTCAATTTGCTGTGTCAATGTGATAATTCAATTTGCTGTGTCAATGTGATAATTCAATGTGCTGTGTCAATGTGATAATTCAATTTGCCGTGTCAATGTGATTATTCAATGTGCTGTGTCAATGTGATAATTCAATGGGCTGTGTCAATGTGATAATTCAATTTGCTGTGTCGATGTGATAATTCAATGGGCTTTGTCAATGTGATAATTCAATGTGCTGTGTCAATGTAAAATTCAATTATACTGTATCAATGTGATAATTCAATTTGCTGTGTCAATGTGATAATTCAATGGGCTTAGTCAATGTGATAATTCAATTTGCTGTGTCAATGTGATAATTCAATGTGCTTTGTCAATGTGATAATTCAATTTGCTGTGTCAATGTGATAATTCAATTTGCTGTGTCAATGTGATAATTCAATTTGCTGTGTCAATGTGATAATTCAATTTGCTGTGTCAATGTGATAATTCAATGTGCTGTGTCAATGTGATAAATCAATTTGCTGTGTCAATGTGATAATTCAATTTGCTGTGTCAATGTGATAATTCAATTTGCTGTGTCAATGTGATAATTCAATGGGCTTTGTCAATGTGATAATTCAATTTGCTGTGTCAATGTGATAATAGAATGTGCTGTGTCAAAGTGTTATTTCAATGTGCTGTGTCAATGTGATAAATCAATTTGCTGTGTCAATGTGATAATTGAATGTGCTGTGTCAATATGATAATTCAATATGCTGTGTCAATGTGATAATTCAATGTGCATTGTCAATGTGCTGTGTCAATGTGATAATTCAATGTGCTGTGTCAATATTCTGTGTCAATGTGATAATTCAATGGGCTGTGTCAATGAAAAAAAAGTTTTTTCAACTGCATTCTGATGTTTGAACTGATCTCACGCCCACTACCCCTTAAACCAGTGGTTCTCAACCTTCCTAATACCATGACCTTTAATACAGTTTCTCATGTTGTGGCGACCCCAAGCCACACAATTATTTTCGTTGCTACTTCATAACTGTAGAGTAGTGTTTTCGGATGTTCTTATGCGACCCCTGTGAAAGGGTATTCCGACCCCAAAGGGGTTGCGACACACAGGTTAAGAACCGCAGCCTTAAACTTTTCTACAATCCACTGGCCTACACGCCATAATACTAATATTACTGACCTATACACTGTTTTACTACAGATTTCCCCAAAACTGTTGTAAACTGTCTGATAAAAATGTTTGACTAATGACTACATTCTGCCTGGATAGACATTAACACCAGGTAAAAGAAATAAACACCAGCAATAAATGGTCTTCTGCTTCGAGAGATCCAACCGACACGGTCCACGTGATTTGATAGATTAGTCGATCAAGAGTTCCTTGGATGTTTCTGTGACCTGAAGGCGAGATGACTTCATGCGTGACAAGTTCTTCTGCTGGTATTCACTGTGTGCACGCTTCAATTAACTCCAGTGATTGACACACAACACCATAAGGGTCGACAGTATTCACAACCAGGGCTGAATTATCTGCAGAGTTGGGTTAGATGATAGAGTCCTATGACACTTAACGTATGTAGGTCATTTATTAAACATTTGGAGTGGGGGTGGGGGGTAAATCGATTCAAAGACACCCATGAAAAATTTTAGAGCTTTTGCTTAACAAAATGTCTACTTCTCTCAGGCGTTTCAAAGACACCTCTGCCCTTGACACATTGTCAAAAACTTAGACAAGAGAAGAGTGCATTATGAAACATCTGATACAGGTAACATTGGACAAGGAGATACAGGTAACATTGGACAAGGAGATACAGGTAACATTGGACAAGGAGATACAGGTAACATTGGACAAGGAGATACAGGTAAAATTCGACATGAGAGACAATTCAAATCGGAGAAGAGATACCTGTAAAATTTGACAAGGAGATACAGGTGAAATTGGAAAAGAGATACAGGTAAAAACTGATAAATAGGGCCTAAACGGGGGGGAGGTGGCAATTTTTTTACACTGGGTCCTGGTATTTTTAGAAATGTCCCCGGTTATTTTGAGAAAATACCCGGTGGGTCCAAGGGTTAAAAAAAATGTAACTTCTCATTTTCTTTAATATAAGCCGTATTTTAAACAAAAGGCCTACAGACACACCCTACCTGCTGGCCTTTAAAGATCAGGTTTACAGATAGTCCTACACCCTTTAAAGATCAGGCTTAATTACAGTCCTACACCCTACCTGCTGGCCTTTAAAGATCAGGCTTAATTACAGTCCTACACCCTACCTGCTGGCCTTTAAAGATCAGGCTTAATTACAGTCCTACACCCTACCTGCTGGCCTTTAAAGATCAGGCTTAATTACAGTCCTACACCCTACCTGCTGGCCTTTAAAGATCAGGCTTAATTACAGTCCTACACCCTACCTGCTGGCCTTTAAAGATCAGGCTTAATTACAGTCCTACACCCTACCGGCTGGCCTTTAAAGATCAGGCTTACAGACAGTCCAAAGATCAAAAGATCCAACACCCGTGGCTCTTAATTTATTGATCTAAAAGCCACCTCCCCCAAAAGTTCAACCCGTTAAACTAAGTTCAACTGTCACGCACGACGGTCGCTGCTTGGCAGCCCCCCCCCCCCAACTCAATACTAATAATTTGAATATGTTGAGATGGGGGAGGGTCGGTTGTGAAAGATAGCAGCCACGCCACAAACAAAACGTACACAGCAGATTGTCCAAATAAAATTTCCTGCAAAT